CAGCGGAGCCGAGTCCAGCGGAGCCGAGCCCAGCGGAGCCCAGCGGAGCCGAGCCGCCCGCGCCCAGCGCCGCCCGGCCCCGACCGGCGGCTTCCCCGGCCTCCTGCCCTGCATTTCTTCCCTTTCTTCTTTCCTTCCTTCCTTTACTCTTTCCTTTCCTCCTCCCTCCCTCCCTTTCCTCCTTACCTTTCCTGTTTTCCTCTTTTCCTTCCCTTCTTCTCTTCTTCCCTTCTCTCTTTTTTAGCTTCTTTCCTTTCTTATTTCCTTCTCTCTKTCTCTCTCTCTCCCTTTCCTCTCTTTTTCGTTCTTTTTCCTTCTTCTTTTTCCTGCAGGACAGCGCAGGACGCCGCGGGCTGCCGAGTCCCCGCTGCTCGCAGCGAGTGGCGCTGGGCACCGCACGTCCCCATCCTTCCCAGGCTGTTTGCAGCTACGGGCCTGGCTGGGCTGTGACAGGGACAGGGACAGGGCAAAGCCCAGAGCCAGGGGCAGTGCTGGGGGAGCCGACGGCAGCGCGGCCGCTGCGCGGCTGCCATCCACCAGCGACACGGAACCGCGGGAGAGCGACTCCCCCTGTTGCCTCGGCAGCCCCTGCTTTGGAAAAGTTAGCACATCTGTGCAGTTTTACCCTTAAAATACAGTTATTATGTTATTTCTGATTAAGGGGCAGGGGCAAACACTCCGGTGCTAACCGCATTCCCAGTTTTCCATACTCCTTGCAGCAGCAGTTACAAGGGCTTTACGTGGCCCTGCGCTGCACGCGTAGGGTGTGGAAGCGCTGCGCTGCGGCAGGGAGCACCGAGGCCAAGGCCGGGCACTCGCTCCAGGCTGGGCTGCGAGCTCCAGTTCTGCCGCCCGGGTCTCGCTCCCTTCGCCTTGCGGAGAGGAGGCCTCGTGTGGACCTCCAGGACGGGCCAGAGGACCAGGGCACCAGGCAGATCCGGGGGCACCGGCACCAAGTAGCCCAAGGCACCGAGCAGACAAAACCATCCCAGATCCGGGGGCACCGGCACCAAGCGCCGCGTTTCACTGCAGGCAGGAGTTTCACTGGGCTTGGCAGTTGCGGGGATGGGAGCTCAAGTGATCCAGCACCGCTGCCTCTCCCAGACCCCACTGCCCAAGCGTTAGGCACCTGTGCAGAAATTAATTTTAAGACACACTGACTTGTACACTTCAAAACTTTTATTGGTAATTAAATATGGAATTATTAAAAGATTTTTGGCAATGGATTTTAATTTTTATTGCCAAGTTTAGTAAAATTTAAAGCCAGTCTTTTTATTTCAACTCACTCCCTTGTTTTCAACTACTGTAAGAACATTTACACAAAATAGTATTACAATTTATGAAATATTTAATTGAAAACTTAATCCTAAACTTAACCTCATCGAAATTCTTCCTTCTGGGCCATAGATATTTCATAGATTGACGTAGCTGCACAGAAATATCTGACTAGTTCTGTAGGCAATTTGTTTTTGCCTAAAGGGAAATTATTTTCTACAGCAGAATTTACAAACTTCCTATACTGCTCGGGGTGGGTGCTGCTCCCCTCTGTCCCCTCCATAAAGCAAAGCAAACCCCAGCCTCATCTCCCTCTTTCCGTGTGTTTTATGGGGTGGACGGTGCTCCTCTATTTGCTGACTCAGGAATTAACAGCAGGTGCTGTACAGCTGGTAACGGGCATGGAGGGATCCATGCAGCTGCTCCGCCTTTTGTTTACAAATCAAACCAGAAAATAAGAGGTTTGACAGTGCTGCTTTTAAACTTTCTGAAAAGCAAATAAGCAATATATACAGGAGGAAATATCTCAAAATACTATAAAAGCCCAGCTGGGACATGCTGCTGTTTAAATCCGCAATGCCTGTAAAACCAAAGGAAGCGAAACAAGGCGAGCATGCGGGGCAGGCGCAGCCGGTCCTGCTCTGCGGCAGCGCGGCCCCGCGACGCGCGCACGCCGGACACAAAGCACCAGCGCACGGTTCACTCACACGTTTATTTACACTCGTCTACAGAGGCGTCTTGTCTTACATTTTGTCTAAGCCAAATGAAACCATAATTCTCCTTTGTCTGTAGCCTACTATTTGCTAAATTTAAAAACTTTTGTCTGTTAAGTACAGCAACAATCTATTACAAAGCACAAGGGGAAAAAAAAACCAAAAGCAAAAGGTAACAACAAAGCATCTATTAGGTCTGATTTTTACAATTTAGTAGGTGGACTTTAAAGTCAGAGGCACAGAGTTAACAAGACTAACCTGTTCTTGTGCAATCTACACATATTTAGCATGGAAATAAGATAAAAAAAGAAAACACTAAARAAGAAATTGCAGGGTGTTTTCTGAAAGATTATCAGAATATTTCTTCACCAAACCCACTTTGCTTATGTACCAGTCCAAAGAAGTTCACTTCTTAAGAGAAAATGAAGAGAAAAAAGAAAAAAAAAAAAAAAAGCAGATGTAGTTTGCTCCGTTTGTTCTGTGCAGTTCATTTTATAAAAGCAGCTATGAAATAAGGGTTTGGAAACTTTACTACTGAAGCAACTGCAGATATATTGCTCTTTGTTGACTTAGAAGAGTTTTCCTTAACATACTTACCTTGTGATGGCACTGAAGATACTTAAACCTGTCTTTACCATTAACGGAGCTCAAGAGTGACCAAGTTTAAATGTAATATTGCTATTAAAGTCTATAAAGCATTTTAAGCCATGTTATACATGTTTGAGGGACAAGAACGATTGAAAAACACATTTAAGGTGGCGCAACTTTCTACAGTTTTATTATTTTCCACTTTTAAGTATAAAGAAAATCAGATACCTTGAAATTTTTGGTCAGCCTAAAATTAATTTCACAGATGGGCTGCAGAAGCTTGATTCCCAGAAGCTACTTCCCAACTTCTCCCCCTCAAGGGTGGTTCCTAAGCAGTGGATCCTTTTGCAGGTCAGGCTGACGAGCCCCAGGCCACACGCAGCTGCAAGCCCTGCAGACAGAGCGCGAGGCCGCAGCTACGGAGCCTGCCACGTCCTCGCGCCCCGGGAACCCCGTGTGCAACTCTGCGCTGCAGGCTGGTATCTAACAGCTATTCGGCACTACACTGCCTACAAAGAAAAAGGGGGCACTGGGCTACGCCYTCACTTATGCCTTTATGCCTTTACTTATGCCTTTTATGCCTTTACACAGGGAAAACAAACCAAAAAGGCTTCAAAAACTTACTACTGTAACCCTAGGGGTTACGTTAGCCCTACAGCTACACTACTCTGTCATGGTCCCGCAGGAGGTGCGCTGAAGAAGCTCGGGAGCTGGATGCAGAAAGCTGAGGGTTCCTCACATATCCTCCTGTACTTGTGTAACTGCCACCTGAAGAGGAGCTCTGTTAGAACAACAGATCCAACCCACGTCTGCTCCTAAGTAAGAGCCAGGAATGGAGTAACTGAGTCTTTAAAAAACAATACAAAAAGAAAGAAAACAACTTACTCAAACAGCAAAACTTCACCCCTCCTCTGGGGAGTTTATGGCTTAAAATGCTACCTCACTTTTTTGTGKATGAACAAAGCGGCAATTTTCCAGAAAGCAAGGACAGACATGCACCTCTACTAGCAGATTCAGCACTTCTGACCAAGTAAGACACCAACTTCTTAAAAATATGTCTCATGCACTGACTGGATTTTCTTTTCTGGGTGTTTTTTTTTTTTTTTTAAACTGTGACCTTTAATACATTATTTCTTTTTAGAACTTGTACGGGAACCAGAATGGGAAGATCCGGATGATGATCTGCGGCGTCTGCAAGATATAAATGGAGAAAGCATGCAAAGAAATAAGTTGAAGTTAATTTTAGCATCCAGCCTAAATAGTCTGTATCCTATCATAGCTGGAAGCACATATATTTAATAGGGGCCTTCTAAGAATATAAAAATTCTTTGAGCTCATGAAGGTGAATTTAATACCAAAACTGTATGGTAAATTTAATACTAAAAGAAGTCTACAATTTCTAGATGCAATACTGTTTTGACAACAGATTAGTGAAATACATGTTAACGCTTTCACACGCTGAAAGAGAGATGAGCAGGTCTTTCTATGGAACATGCTCCTAACAGGACAAAGTTTCATCAAAAAAACAAAAAGCAAAAAACTTGCAGAAGTTTTAAAAAGTAGTAACGGAGTTGGGGAAGTGAGAGAACTACTCTAATATCAGAATAACTGATCAAACTCTTTTTTTTTTCCTAGTGAGTATCAATCCTTTAGAAAAAAATATCACACATTTAAATACACCCATTCTTATTCTACATAAACCCAAACCTTTCGGGTGACCGTGATCTYGATCGTCTTTTTTTGCGATCACCAGATGAAGAAGATCTAGAACGACTTCGCTTCTTGCTTCTCTCAGGCGAAGATGATGAACGAGAGCTTGAGTAAGATCTTTTTCTTGGGGTTGAAGACCCCCTGACGGACCTGGAGCTGGATCTTTATTGATTAAGAAATAAATCAGATTTAATTCTGGCATAATATAGAAAGAACAAACAAAGAACAAAGAAACATTTTCATGAGTACCTGCTACTCTATTTACATCAGTGTTCTTTTSAGAGAAGACTGTGGATATTTTAATACTTACTGCTTAGTTAGCTGCCAATAAAGACGTCTACTGGCATGGTAGTTCTCTTAATGAATTTTGTTAAATAGTATTTCTCAAAATACAACCCAGCAATGGTTTGGAAACTCCCTTCCAATATTCCCCAGAGCTGAGTATTTTGGTCACAAGCTATGGGAGACTGGGATAGGAGACAGCCTGTGATCCCCCTCAGGAACCCAATTCACAAAGCAAAAGGGTTTGAAATGACAGATTTAACACTAACTTAAGTGTTTCACTATGTATTAAAGGATATTTCACATTGGAACTTAATTCATCTTAACCAGAATTGGAAAAGCCCTTCGGAAGGTATAATGACATTTACAAATGTCAAAGTAAATTTGGACAAGTAGCAAGACCTTCCAATCCCACAATATAAACATCAACCAAACAAACCCAACCCCCGAAACCCCTTTTGTAATACAGTCAGTTTGGCATTTGCAACGGCTGSACCAGCTTCTATCAAAAATTCCTTTTGTTATCTGAGAGGGAAAGAAGCARCTTTTGGAGTCTTTAATAATAAGGCACTAGAGCTAGAGAGTCCTAAACTCTTAATTCCAAGATGACATAAAAGCACCTAGGATTTTTTCAGTAAGCCTGTAAAACACTGCCAAAACCAAGATTCCGGTAAAATATTTTCAGAGTTCTCGTTGTAAATAATAAAGCACTTTCCTCTTTCAAGGCAGCTGATAGAGCGGGGCCCCTCGGTGAGGCASGCTGGCACGAGCCAACAACCCTGCACAGCTGGGAGGCACGTGGGACCCAGCGGGGCCACGGGCGCTCTCCCCTCTGCTCCGCTCCGCCACCCGCAGGGAGCTCTGGCCACCCAACAGCGGCGGCACCACCTCTGGCTGATTTTCTTTCCCAGCTTAACTCTTCCTCACTTTACAGTGTAAGCTTCTCTACACGCACAGAAAGGGCCGGCATCTTCATTCCACTGCGAAAGCACCGTTCTGCCGGCAGGACGGCCGCGCACGGCACCCGAGGAAGCCGCCCGATCCTGCTCGTCCTTCCTGCACAGTCCCGTAACCGCTACACAGAAGGGATCAGCTAGCTCAAACTCCTGCAGGCAGCTCACGCGATTAACTGTCCAACGCTCACATACGTTTCCCCACACTTATAAGGATAATTGCAGCACTATCTAGTGGAAGTTAAATACATCAGCACTAAACACAGTAAATCAGAAGCACGGCATGTTTTCTAATGTTCTTCCACATCAAATAGTCAAAGTGGAAACAGTAAAAACAGGAAAAAAAGCAAACATGCATTCAGATTCTTCTTCCTTCACAGTGAAGATGTGTGGAGTCCACTCCTCTAGCTTTAGGTCACACTGACAACTCTTCCAACCAAACCTCGCGTTCTCAAGAAATACATTAGCAGTGGTACCAATCTTGTGCAGAGACCCCGGGAATTCTGACTTCCAAGATAAAAACGAGTTAATGTTTTTTGACCAGCATAATTCTACGATGAGATAAACAAGCAGTTGGTTCTTCTGCCCTTTTTCCTCTCTGCAAGGAGAGAATGCTACCTCATTCACCTTGATTTCGACCCACGAGATCTAGAGTGCTCTTGGGAGCTGGAGCGAGATCTTGATCTGGAACTGGAAGAGCTTCTTGAATGGGACCTGAAACAACAGGGAAGACTTTTTCCAATATCTAACAGCTCCGAGACACACAGAGGTTGCTCTAAAACTAAACACARCATTTTGCCTAGTAAGACTTGGAAACAATAGTCTTTGTTAGTTTTTGAAAAAATGTATTGTTGTTCTTTCCTTCTGGTGTGTTTAGCAGAATAACTGCTAGTGTTAGCAGTAAAGCCTACGCAGAGGCTTTACTTATATAGTAAAGTTTCCAATGCGTAGGGACATCTGGACTTATATTCACTAAGTGAGCAACAATTTCCTTCATCCCTCTAATTTCGCGTTACATTTGAAACCAAACATTGTGAAGTGCATTCAAAAATGCACAGTCTGTTTTTTATTACGTTTCCTAAAACAACGTGCAAAATTAATCAGGGTTGCAGTTATTTGGCAGAATGTATCAAACAACTGCATAACCTTTTACTATTTCATGAAACAGCTTTTCTTTTAATTTGTGCCTTAATCTGAAAGCATCAGCTTCTCTGAAAAGCAGAATGATGAAGAGCATTAGAAATAGCTCTTCTTTTTTTTTCCCCAAGTGAGTTCCCATGAACATCTTGTAAATATTTTGAATTTTTTTGTAAAGATTTTCCTCTGCATTAAAGTTAAGGAGTGAGAAGGCAGCCAGTTCCTGGCTAAAGCACGGTCCCAGCCCGTACTACTTGTAAGCAGAGACAGAAGCACTTCCAAGTTTTTCCAGGTGATAGTGTTTCTTTAAGGCACAAACCATAAGAAGTTCATAAAAAAGGCATTGGACTTTTGGCAACAACTGTAAAAAGTAGACATTGCAAACAATTTCTAATAATCTCTTCAGGCAAAATATTCTATATATGCACTCAATCTCCTAGTATATATTGCCACTATATACTCTCTCTCTCTCTCTCTCTCTCTCTCTCTCTCCACACAGACACACACACACTCTTTTTCCTTTTGCTCAGCAAAACAAAAACAGTACGAACAAATTCTTTCTAACAAGAAAACATTTTAAACCTTTAAAAAAAACACACAGGTATCTCAAAGTGCCATAAAAGGCAGTGATATTGCCAATGAATTATGTTACTAGAAGCATATTAAAGACCTGAAAAAGAAAATGAGATAAATCAAAGTACTTTTGGTTCAATGCCAAGACCTATGAGCTCATGCACAGGGTAACGTCTGGGAAGTTTTTGCACCATCCTCGCAGCCCTGGGCTTGGGGTGGCCCTCTGGCTAGAGGGGGCCCCCCGATTGCAGCAGTGCCCCCCCGGCACGGGGCGCTGCGGGAAGCTGGGCCGGCAGCGGGGCACGCGGAGCTGCCAGAGCAGAGGGGCCCTTTCCCAGGCAGCAAGAGCAGGAGAAACCTGAACTTGAGAGGCACAAAGTTTGGGTAACACTGTGCGCCAGGACTGATTTCAGGTGTTAAATCTGCTCRTTAATATCATCCTTATGTTAGCGGTGATGCAGCTGAAAAGCTACAGCTTGCTTTACAGATATATCAAATTCTTTACAGAATTTAAGTCATTTCTGATCTCTTATACAGTACTCATCAGATTTTTTTTGTCCCCATGACCAGTATAAACCTTCCCTGCTGTTCTGGCAGCACCGCCTCTCTGCTGAAAGCTTCGCTTGCCTCTTCCCTCCAAATTAAGTTCCAGCTCCTGGTCTTTGTTTCCCTCAGTCCTCTCACTGAGTGCTCCTGCATCTCTGCTCCCTTCTGCCACTTCCTCCCACTCTCACACTCCTGCTCTTCTGCTTCCTTATGCAGGGCTTCTCAAAGTGCACCCATTCAGTGAAACATGGTCAACAAGTGTAAAAACTATCTTTTTGTTTAAAAAAAACCCTTCTTTTGAGGATTCAATTAAAACATCAACTTAAATTAGTAGAACAAGTAGGAAGATGCGAAGTTGTGAAGTCTTCCCACTGAGCAGCTGCACAAGGCCAGGACAGAACATTATCTACCTGTGTAAACTCTGTACATAAAATTGTTAACATTATTAACTAAAACTATAAGACAATTAAGAAAAAAAAGTAAATAAAGAAGTTAGATACTGACATTTTGCCTGGCGTTACCCTTGACCTGTACCCGTTTACCTGGACCTAGACCTTGAGCTTGAATGGGAGGATGAGCGCGATGAAGATCGTGAGTGGGAAGATCGAGACTTAGAACGACTGCGCCTATTGGATTTCTTTTTCTTATTAGTGTCCTCTTCTTCACTAGCATCAAGATTATATTTTGAAAGGTCTGCATCATCTTCATCCTCATCCTGCAAAATGCAGATAACAGGTACTTTAAGAAAGATGGAAAAAAAATCTCTGAAATGTTCAGTTTTCTAACTGAAAGAAAAACCTAACATTTTTAATAGACCATTAATAGACCAATAGACAATTCAAGATCCCCCCCACCCACTGACGCGCTAACCACACAGAAATGCTCCAACCAGCCGCGTCMAAAGCTTTAATTTTCACAGTACAGTTCAGGTGCGGGTGCTTTCCAGAAGCTGCGCGCACTGTTATCCTCACACGGCTGTAAAGGCAGCAGCASACAGCCCAAATTTTAGCTGCTGCTATGAAACTACACTACAGTTACCACTACAGAAGAGTTATCAGCAAAGCCAAAGCAGAACACAGTACCTCATCCAATTTATATTTGGAAAGATCTTCATCCTCATCCTCCTCATCTTCCCCTTCAGATTCTTTATCTTCTACTTCTTTCAGGATAGATGCTGGACCAACTGGCTTCCCTCTATACTTTTTCTTTTTGCGACCAAACTAAAAAATATTACTCTGTTAGAATATCATTTATCAAAATTCATTTCCAATTGTACTTTTTAAATATGACTTCTATGAGAAAACATACAGTAAAATCAATTTTAAAAGAAGTATTACTCAAAGAGAAGTAACATCAAACAGCAACTAACAAAAGACTTTTTAACAAATACTTATTCTAGGACTAAACAAGTACTTACACACTAAATTAATAAAAATCTAAATGTAACAAAACTGTATTTTTCATTTGCATCTATGTGATATCTTTCTGTAAAGCAATGCTGATGCCTTATCAGAAACACCAGGCAATGCCCCAAGGTCGATTCCTGCAGCAGTTTAATGAACAGTGCCTGTCCCAGTTTCATTCGATTCAGCGCCTGGCTTCTCCCCCCACAAAGACCCAGCTGTGCTCACTTGCGCCTCGGAACTGCTTTGCCCTTGGGCGTTTGTGACAAGGGAGGAATCCCAAGGCACCTCTCCCCGTCCGGAAACTGAAGGTGAGCACCCCTGCCCTAAGCCCAAATCCAAGAGTCAGGTCCCTCCAGGGCACACGAGCAGCTCCTCTTACCTCGTCGTACTCTCCATCTGATTCTTCACGTTCTATATACTCAACGTTCTCACGTTCGTTAAATCCTCCTCCGTATCCTTTAAAAAGCGGTAAAATGAGACAATCTCTTGGGTTGTGCTGTGTTCTGCTACATTAAACGCAAACTTCAGAATAAACTTCTATGGGACTTCTGGAAACCCTCAGTGGATTTATAAATATACACGTCATAAAAACGTAACATGAGTGCAGTTGTTCCCACACACATTTATTAAAAATAGTTCCTCAGGAACTCAGTTGAGAAAATGGATTAAATGGCACAAATGACACAGAGCACGATGGAATCGGTGGACGGAGGAACAGACTTGAGGGGTGCTGAACACTCATGTTTGGGGGCGGCTGCAAGGCCCATGAGGGATAGGGTGGATTTGCCCCCCGGAGCATCTCCTGGGGCGGATGGGCCCCCCGGGAGCCTGAGCCCTCGACACCCAACCTCCCACAGCTCCACTCGCTTGTGCCGGAGAGATGAGCAGCACCCCGAGAACCAAGCAGCCAGAGCAGACTTCTTGGCTGGGGACAACCCGCTCTGCCATCCCCTTTTAGGTAGTTAAAGCTTAGAAAAAAAACAGTCTAGGCTAAAGAAAAAATAAATAAAATAAAATAAAATAATAAAATAAAATAATAAAATAAAATAATAAAATAAAATAATAAAATAAAATAATAAAATAAAATAATAAAATAAAATAAAATAAAATAAAATAAAATAAAATAAAATAAAATAAAATAGATTTTATTTTTTTATTTTATTTTATTTTATTTTATTTTATTTTCCTCCATTGGTTAATTACAGTTTGTGCAAAGAACTCAAAGGGAGAAAAAAAGAGAAACATGTCACATGGGGTATGTTTTCGCTTAAAACATATTTGATTTCATGTTTTTAATCACATGGAAATTCTTAATTTAAAATGTAAAATTCTTGAATTTAAAATGTGTTCTCTTGCTGGGGGCAACAACAAATATCAAGCACCTCCCTGCCCCATTTATATACTCAAAACTCTCCACAGAAGATATTCATTCGTTCACTGGCCCCATCTGCATGAGCTTGCACGTGCACAAGACCACACAAATTCAAATAATCTCTTTCTGTAGTGACAKGATTATTTCCAGAAGACAGTTTTTAATTGGTGTTCTCAATGCCCRTTCCTTGTCTGAAGTCCTAACCGATGTTCTGACATAAATCTAGTCTAGGTAAGTACTGGGACACAAAATGGGGTGACTGCTGAGGTAGACACTAAACCTTTGCTGTTTGTGCTACAAAATCTTGTACATAAAACTACGAGAAAAGCAACACTACAAAACTGCTGCTCTCCACAGAGCCGACCTGAAGCTGTTCTCCTCTGCGAGGCAGACATGCACACAACACCCCCCAAAAAACCACCACAAAACCCCCAAAAACCCTGGCTCAAGCAGGAACCAGGGCACACCAGGGGCCACTGGAGGAGGCCTCTTCCTCCTCCTCACGGTGTGAGCGGAGGACACAAACTGCTCCCGCTCGTTCCTGCCCACTCTGCCACTCCTGCCACGCAGGCGCTACACACGACAGCCCACGCACGGCCACAGCTCTACTCTGACAGACACCAGGACTGCAAAGAAATTAAGAAATAAACTTTTGAGGAAGAAGTTCTGTCCTCTTCTCCGTGCCCCTCTTCTTTTATGCATTGGTGCACATGCTCCAAGCATTAAACTCACTGACTAATCCATTTACATTGGTATCAGTGTGAACAGCATTATGACCCTGTTTCAGGTCTGTTCTCAGTGCCAGCTATTGCTGGGTTTCACTGTTAATGCAGAAGGAACTTGCAATTTCTTATCAGGAAACACTGTCTAACCTATACCACCTTGTATCTTTTTTCTTCTGACTGTTGATTCCTCTGTGGATGGGCACTACAAGCATATAGATAAGTATCTCACAAGCCTCAAAATTTTTTAAAAAAATTACTCTTTGAGCCTTTTTATCCACAAAACAGAGCATAGAAGCGGTTTAAGCTGACTGCTCTCTGACCTTCCAAATGAAATCACCTAGACGCTTTGCTTACTGCTAAAGACATCTTGTCCGAGAATGTACAAATTTATTCACACATGAAAGGTAATTCAGTTTTGCTAATCCAGCTACGAAAGCAGACTCCTTAAATGATATTGTGGTTCATAAAAAAGAAGTTTCTTACACCATGTAAGAGTATTTTAAAATCACTGATCTCTTACCTGTCCTTTCCTCCAGCTTAGCATACTTGGGAGTATTACACATATTACACTCCGATCTTCGGGCCCAGTTCACATTACCACATCTTCAGARAAAGAAAGCACAAAACACGAATAAGAAGCATTTCAAATGAAAAGTTTGAGTGTTGAGGCAGAGATTCAGTAAAATCATCCTAACCTATTTGCCAGCTTCTGGCTGCAATCTATAGTCACTAATGCAAAGCAATGAACTCAAGGCAAAGGGTCATCTGGACCCAAGGAACTGCAGAAGAGCCTGTGCCTCTCTGCAAGCACAAAGGTGACAGGAAAGGGCCACACCAAGGAGAAAGAAGTTAAATAAATGCACAAAGGGATGACTATACAACATGTGTTAGCATAACACTGAAGTTACGCTTTACCTGCAGTTAAAACTGCACAGATACTTAACAGACTCCATGCAGGTGAAGTGGTCACCAGCAGCACTCTAACCCATAGTGGACAAGGGCACCTCTGCTGTTGCCAGATCTCCATTCCAGAGTGCAGGAGWGGGGAAAGGAAAGCGGGGAGGGGAAAGGCCATGGCCACAACATACTGAAGAACCAAGTCTGAACAAGGAGCTCACRGAACTGCTGCTGAAAAGGGGCTGCCACCTCCTCCCTGCTTCTACTGCAGTTTCAACCCATCAGACCTGCCAGTGTCCTGCACCCCGAGCAGGGATGGGTGCCAGGGGCAGGTTTCCCCGCCGGGAGGGCAGCGCTGGCGCTGCTCCTGTGCCGGGCAGGGATCCTCCGTGTACCCTCTCCYGGGGGATGGAGCATCGCAAGCTCCCGGCCGCGCGGCACTCGCAGCCCACAGGACTCCCCAGGGGCGACACGGGCACCGCGTGCACCCCGACACCCGTCCCAGGGGAGCCTCGGGGCGCTGCGTGGGGCACAGGGACGCGGTGCCGGCCGTGGCTGCGGTGCTTTGCCTCCCGCTGCCGCTCCATTTAACCACCTCGGCGGCTGCACGGCACCTCGGGCAGCAGCAGGGCCAAGGGCCTCTGCTCAGGGAGCTGCGCCGGTTAACAAGCACCGGAATCGTTAAAACTGCTCCGGAAAAACGGCTCCGCTTTGGTTGGGACCAGATGATCTCTAGAGGTCCCTTCCAACCTTAACCATTCCGGGATTCTGTGAAAAACTGAGGGGTCCTCAAAAAACTTTAAGTGGATTAAAGTAGGATATTTTTCTAATTTAGATCTCAATCAATACCTTAAATAGTATGCCAGAAAACCTAGCTATGTGGTGTGTTTATTCAATAAATATTTAARGTGTGCTAAAAATAAACACAGGATCATTACAATGATGGTGCTACTCCCACGTATGTGTGTTTTCCTAATGGAGAAAGGCCCTGCGCCTGCTTGTAAGAGGGCAACTCTTCCCTATGTGCTCCCAGCACCTCGGCGGCTGCTGTGCACCGAGCAGGGGGGCTCTCTTCTGCTTTATGGAGGGCAGCAGAGCCCGGAGCTCRCGGCTGGTCACCAGCCGATCCGGGTGCTGGTTTCCAGCCCCGGGGGACGGTGGCGGTTGTGTGTGAGGGACGGGCCGTACCGGGATGGGATGGGATGGGTCGGGCCGGGATGGGACAGGCCAGGCCAGGCTGGGATGGGCCGGGCCGGGCCAGGCCGGGCCGGGCCAGGCCGGGCCGGGCAAGGTTGGACCGGGATGGGCCGGGCCAGGCTGGGCAAGGTTGGACCGGGATGGACTGGGCCAGGCCAGGCTGGGATGGGCCGGGCCGGGATGGGCCAGGACAGGACGGGCCAGGCCGGACCGGGCCGGGCCGGGCCGAGCCGGGACAGGCCGGGCAAGGTTGGACCGGGCCGGGCCGGGCCGAGCCGGGCCAGGCCAGGCCGGGCAAGGTTGGACCGGGCCGAGCCGGGCCAGGCCAGGCCGGGCAAGGTTGGACCGGGCCGTGCGGGCCGCGCGCGGGCGCCTACGTTTTGCACTGCCAGTCGTTGGCGCTGAAGAGGCCGCGGCTCTTCTCGGCCAGCGTCTTGCCGATCTCGGTGCCGCCGGCCTTCATCATCTTGGCCTCGGTGGTTTTCTCTGCAAGAGAGAGCGCCGGTGAGGCGCGGCGAGGCCCGCGGGGCCCGCGGCGGGCGGGCGGGCGCTCACCTCGGCCGCAGCGGTTGCAGCTCGTCCTCCTGGCGAAGTTCACGTTCCCGCACCTGCGGAGAGAGCCGCGTGAGCGCGGGCCGCCCTCCCCGCGCCCCGCCGCCGCCGCCGCCGCCGCCGCCCCTCACTTCTTATCCGGGCAGATCCAGTCGCCGTCGCTCACGCGGAAGTTCTTGGTCGACATCTTGGGCGCCGCGAGCAGGCCGCGCCGAACCGGACCGGACCGGGCCGAACCGGGGCCTTGCCGGCCGGGCTGCCCGCCGCGCCTGCGCAGCGCGCCGGGGCGCTCAGGCAGCGGCGCGGGCAGCTCGGCGCGGGCGGCTCAGCGCGCCCCCGTGCGGCGGGGAGGAGCCGGCGCCGCGCGCGCCCCCCGCGTTATCAAACTCGTTTAAGATGAAAAATCAAATCATTTAATTACACGATCGAAATCATTCAATCACATGGAGGCTGCCTGCACGCCATAATTTTATTTTTCAGAAATTTAATAAATTATATATATAATTTATAAATATATATTATATTATATTATATATAATACAATATATTACATATTACATATATATTATATATGCAATATTATATATTATATATTATATATTATATATTATATATTATATATTATATATTATATACACATTATATATAATTATGTATATATATTATTATATTATACTACATATTATATATAATATATGTATTACATATTACATATTACATATTACATATTACATATTATATATTATATATATATAATATATATAATATTATTTATTTATTTACTATATATTATATATTATATGTATTATATATTATATAATATTATATATAATATATATTTTATATATATTATATATATAAATCTCTCTATATATTTAATATATGTAAAATAAATTTTATATATAAATATAATGAAAAAAATATTTTTCAGAACTAAAATTATTACTTTAAATCACTTGACCTTCAGGGAAATACATCCATGACATTTCTTATTACTCACCAGCTCCACTCAAAAATATGAGAACAAAGTTGAGCCCGTATTTCATTTCTCTTTCACTGTTTTTCATGTTCCCTCCTGACACGATGTTTGCACAGCATACTCCTTATTAGTTCTTTTGGTGGTTGGTTTTTTGGTGGTTGGTTTTTTAAGCATCAATCACCCTTTTAAACATCAATGTAAATCACTTCTTTAAGCATCGACGTAAATCGCTTAATACCTTGTTGATGCTTTCCGAGACATCGTAATAACGATTCCAAATCCATGAGTTTAAAGTGTAATGCGCATCCATCAGGCGAAATCAAACCATTATGAAAATCTCTTCATGTTGATGCAGTCGAAGGTACGTTGAACCGCACTGGGAAATAGTGTTAGACTGTCTGCTTGTTCTGTGCAGAGCCTCACGGCTCGACAGATGCTCACTTCCCGGCGCGGTGGGGACGGCTGCAGCAGCAGTGCTAAACGTGCAGTTGCTGAAAGCCATTCAGGACGCTTGGTGGTTCATGATTTACACCGACTGCAAGGACTGTTCCGCGGGAAGGCAGTTTTACAATGCTGGTCTTGCAAAGCCTGCTTCAGTTTTCCAGTGTGACAGACATTTGGTTATAGAATTTTTCAGGCAAATGATGGGCTCTCGCACGCCCCTCAGGCTGACATGGTTTGGGACAAAAAAAGATCTTCTACGTGTGATCTTTACAGGAGGTTAGACATTGCAGCTCATTTACTAATTTAAGAACAATTCAGGCCTGCTGAGAAGACCTCAAATGACAGAATAATGGGTACAAATAATATTTTAAAGGTTTATTTTAATGAGAGTCAACAAATAATCACCGTCCATACAGATGAAGTACAAGTGGCCTCTAGAGGTCTCTTCATCCATAGCCTTTGCTCTGAGATTGAATCAAGTAAGCTTAGACCTTCATGGCAGCTGAGGGTTTAACCCCAAAGCAGAGATTCCGCATCCATCCTCTGTAATCTGCCCAGATCTTTACACTTCTTTATGRTCAAGCAAGTAACAATTAGAAATATTTTCAACCATGTTTTCCTTCCTGCAGATTAAGCAGTTYTTTGTCTCCCCATGAGTCAGTGTAAAAAAGGCCTGATTCCAGTTCGCTTCTATTATCACCTTTTTGTATGTGTGCAGAGATGATCTTTACTATATTCAAAGCAAACACATATGTTTACAACTTTCCTCTTGGTCTTGTTTTCTAAATCCTCATCCTTTTCGTTGCTCATCTCCAGGCTTTGTTGCTCACCTGACAGGTGACTTCCTATCTCACATGGATTACTGGATAACAAACTGCAGTTCAGGGCCATGCTGAACAGTACAAGGATTATTTCACTTTGCCTCTAATGCAATGCTACTTTTCAGATATACTAACATTAGAATAATTTCTTTTTAATAGGGGCATCAAATCATGAGTTTGTGATGCTCAGTTTGTGATTCACTGCAGCTCAGTGCYTTCAGCAGAACTGTTGCTCTTTCAGCTATTCACTACTGAAGATTTGCAGACCTGATTTCTCCCTTTGAAGTCTGATACTTTGCATGTGGTCTGACTTGAATTTCTTTTTTTACCAATTCTGCAGTTGTCAAGATAATTTTGAATACTTATCGTCTAAATTTATTACAACCATCCTTACATTAAGAAAATCAGCTAATGTTGTGAATTTACTCCCTACTACATCAGCTAAATAACTAATACCAAAATTTTGTTAATATTGCACAGATCTCTGCAAGTCCATCTGTCTTCCCAGCTTGACAGCAAATGCTAAATATAAACAGATTATTTTTTCAATCATTCGTGCATTGACTTCCCGTTGATTTGATCTGGGTAGTATTTCCTTGATCTGTGCCCAGCAGTGCCACCCAGCCTATGTTCCAGGTTTTTCTCCCACGAAGGCAGATCACATCTGGGCATTCCTGTCCCTCTCAGAGGACCGCCTGAGGTCTGACATGGTTCTATTTCAATTTTGTTTTCAGTACTCTAGTTCTACTAATSCTTTGCATTCACTACCAACATGTATTTAGGAACAACACGGAGCTTCAATAGACACATGTGCAGGGGCTATGAAAATGGACCATCCTTCCCCGCTGCATTTTTACTGTAATACAGTACCATGACGTGCTCTGAGCTTCCCTCTTGTTCTGATTGACAGCAGCCTTTGCTACGGCAGAACGGTGAATTCTCAAAATGCTGTGGGTGCATTTTAGCTGTCAGACACTTGTCTTAGCTCCAGCACTTCCTCTCAGAAATAAGTAAGGACTCATGATACACTCGAGTGTGTCCTTTGGACAAGAAAATCCAAACATATATTTGCCCACAATTTAGTTAACATTTACAGAACAGCTTAGSATTTGCTGTTATAGCCACAGAACATCTGCGTTGGTTTTAAGCTTACCCTTCAAAACAGATGTGCACTAAAGTAGTATCTCACCTTATAATTTAGGAGAAGTCACCTGTGCAGCCAAGCTGTCTTTCCAGATAGGAGAAAGAATATAGTTAAAAGTGACGGAATGGAGGAACGGGAGCTGCACTGGCCCTGTTATCTCCAAAGCATGTGAAGAGTTGCTTTTAAATGCAGCAGTTGTGTTTAATTAAGAATTCTGTGCTTAGCCAGATCTGAAAATGTCTGTAGCTGATATAATTCACGTATATAGAGCTTTAAAGAAAAAAGTAAATGTTCTTCAAAATTAAAAAGTCCTTAACTTCAAATTTGGTATATTTTTTCCAAGATTTTTCTCTTTTTCATTTAATAGGGAGCCAGCTTGGGAAACCATCAGTTATATCCATTAGTAAGGACCCAGTTTTGCATGATAATACTCTCGTAGATCTTGCCTTGTAAACCTGGCAGACGGGGAAGGGAAACTTCAGAGGCCTCTGGGGTTCAGAAAGAAGCACGGCTGGATTTACCAGTTTGGCTGTTAGCTGCCGTGCCAGTTTCTGCTGTAGCTTGGACCCAGGTTCAGCCCTCAGCACAGGGCTTCTTGCYTCTCTAGTTAACTCGGCAATATCTTCACAGACTGAACCCTGTCACAGAAGGAGAAGATGACATTTGTTATGCACATCTGTGTATTTTTTCATTTTGGGCTGCATATGGGGAGATGAAAAGGGCGGCTGTCTTGATGGAGAATGTCCATGGACAATGCTCTTCACAGATCCACCTTGTGGCTGATCTAACAGAATATATTCATTACTGACTTATTGTAAGAGCTAATCGCAAACGCTGGACATTACAGATGAGGACTCTATCTAATCTTACAAAAAAAGTGGTACCTGCTTCACTGAACTGATAAATGTGATTTTAAATTTAATACCACAAACTCATGGACTTAGTGTCTGCTTGTAAAGGATTTAGCAATGCAAGAAAGGCCTCTCAACTAGACTTAACAAAAGAGAGAAGAACTAGAAGAGCAGCATTAAGATAACTTAAAAAAAACCAGTGCAAATCTGGGTGGAACATTTTTAGGGCAGAGAAAAAAGCTCTGTGGAAAGCACTCACACGACTGCAGCTTCTTGCTCACATTGAACTGCATGAATGTAAACTGGAAAAGGTACAGTGAAGGCCACTTAGTTGATTAGGAAAATTGAATATTGATGTTATGAATGGAGATTAAAAGAACTTCGCTTACCCTAGCTAAGTACACATTGAGAGATGATGATTCTTCGTTAATACGTTCAGAGATGGTAAATACAGATGAAAGGTAAGAATTCTCTGAGAGAAAAAAATGACAAGATCAAATAAATTGATCATGAATATATTTAGATAGGAATTAGAAAAAGGAATTTAGCCATACCAGAAATAAAGATCTGTAACGGCTTTCCAAATAAACTCCGGAGAAGAATGATTCTAAATTATTTAAGATGGAGCTTGAAAAGGTTACTAATTAACCTGTGGTCTTACTGGAAATGGGAAACTATGTCTGTGGTGTGAGAGTTTCTGAGTATTGCAGGCACTGGCTAACCCATGGAATGGGAAAGGTGACTAGATCACGGCTTTCCCTACACGCTGGTACACCAGTGCTACGCTCAAGGACTCACTTAGTCACCTATTCCTATTCCTGTGGAGGTCAGGAATATCTGTTTGCTTCCTGGCATGAGGCTCCAAGATTGTTGCTTTTCCCAGCTTTCTGGGAAGAACTAACTGATAATGAGATTTACTGGGCTAAATTAGCAGGCAGCTTTGGTGTCGGAGGGTTCCTTGGCGTTTGGGCACGCAGCAGTGCTGCGGG